TGGGTCCATAATTAAGCATGAACTGGACTCCACCAGCGTGATTCCCACCACCCATTTAAAACACCCAACAAACACAGGACCCCATATCAGAGAGCAGCATAGCTGACTCTCAAAAGGGAAATAAGACTGACATTAAGATATTGCTTCATTCGGGGCCAGGCTGGACCGACAGCCTCCAAAACAATACAGAGAAATCCTGTCTCATAAAAACAAAACAAAAAAAGATATTGCTTCATTTCTGCTTAATTACAGAACTACCACCCCCCCAAATACTGTCATTTTCCCTCTGAAAACTGGTACTAACTATTCATAGTTCAATCAATTTGAATAACTGATGGGGGATGTCCTTCTATATGGTGTGAATATGTTTCTCTTATTGGTTGATGAATAAATGCTGATTGGTCAGTAGCCCAGCATGAAGTATAGGTGGGGTGATCAGACAAGGAGAATTCTGGGAAGAGGAAAGGCACAGAAGGAGTTGGGAGCAAGATGCCATGCAGCTGTTGAGGAAAAAAGAGGCCTAGGCATCACTGGTAAGTCAAGACCAAGTGGAAATGCATAGATTAATAGAAATGAGTTAATAATTAATAAGGAGTGATGGGGGAAGTCCTTCTGTGTATGTTCGTCTTATTGGTTGACGAATAGGGAAGCAAGATAGGTGGGACTAGGAGAGGTTAAGGATTCTGAAAAATGGAGGCACAGTGAATTACCATGTAGGATGCTAGAGAGTAAGTGGTCCAGACCCTTTCTCCAGTAAGAGACGGCCATGTGGAAATACTAAGATCAGCAGTTATGGGTTAATAATTAAGTCAGAGCTAACAAAGAAGAAACCATAGAAAATGGCCAACAGCTTCATAATTAATATAGTGTCCTGCGTGTTCATTTGGGACTGATGCAATTCTGGAACCAGGCTCATGGGAAGAATCTTGTACCCAACATTAGTTGCATGAATTTCCACATAGAACGACAAAAGCTTAAAAGGGATTTTTAGAAACAAAAGAACAGAGACAAGCACCAATTCTTGATAGCAGCATTTTCTCCGGTGGGCTCTGTTTTGCTAGAGACAAGAAGAGACATGTGCAGCCATTGCTGGCAGTAAACTTCCACCTGCCATGTTTGAAAATCAGTGGCTAAAACAGCTGCTACTTTAATTTTAACAATGCTGTTTAGCAGATAAAAGACACTCGGCCAGAAAAACATAAAGATTTACAGAAGAAAAACCTCTGTATTTTGGAAGACTAGTCCAGCACTACAGATATTAAATCATGCCAATCTGAGGGAGTTATCTTATTAGCAGTAGCCCATGTGTTTAGTAACTGTTTTACATAAGGGCTGTGGACCCCAAAAGTCATTATCGCTTGCTTTATAGCTTTCATTTCTTTTATGGGAATAGGTTCCCATTTATGTGTAGTGGAACCAGTTTGGTTCCTCCGTGATGCTGGCTTTTCTACCATGGTTACTGGGAAGGCTACCTTAGGATGTCTAGTAGCCATATTTCATTTATTTCCTGGTAGCCTAGTATCTGTTGACTCAACATCTGATGTTTCAGATGATGTATCTTCTAAAGATTGAAATTTTGCAACCATGTCATCCTTTAGGTCTTGGATTTCCTGCATTAAAAATTGTTCCAAGTCCTTGGACTGTTCATTCAGGTCTTGGATTTCCTGCATTAAAATTGTTTTAAGTCTTTGGACTGTTCAGTTAAACGTGATTCCAAGCTTGGTCTCGAACTCACAGAGATCCACCTGCCTCTGCCTCCAGAGTGCTGGGATTAAAGGTGTGCGCTACCACTGCCCAGCCTCAACTTATATATTTTAAAAATGCTTTTACTTCTAAATTTAAATATAAGGACAGGTTACTTGGAAAAAGTGTTTTTGCTTGTGTTTACACAAGCTATGGATCCCTTCCAGACTAATATGGTTTGATGAAGCAAGAGCCCCATAAACAGTGTCCCAAGTGATCCAACATCTAAAACAGCTGAGATGATGCAGCCTTGCCATGACCCCATGGTATATGTTTGTTTTATTGGTTGAGAAATAAAGCACTGTTGGCCAATAGGGAAGCAATATAGGTGGGACTAGGAGTTGAGGAGGATTCTGGGAAATGTAGTAAAGAGTTTAGAGTCACCAGGTGATCCTGAGAAGAGAGGATGCATGAAGCTAGCATCCTCATAAGACCTTACAGAAGTGTGTGTGTGTGTGTGTGTGTGTGTGTGTGTGTGTGTGTGTGTGTGTGTGTGTGTGTTATGGGTTAATACTTAAGACAGAACTAGCCAATGAGAAGCCCTGGATATTGGCCAACAGCATTGTAACTAATAGAGTCTCTGTGTGTTCTGGGGGATTGACGCAGCTCTGGGACCAGGCTGGCAGGAAGAATACTCATTACAATTGAGCTAGTCAATAAGAAATCCGATCCATCAATCAAACAGTTTATGATTAATATAAGCCTCTGTGTGTCTATTTGGGACTGAACATCTATGGGACCAGGTGGGTCAGAAACTTCTGTCTGCAAGGAACCAGTCAAGGAACACAAGTCATATTTATATTTCTCCTGTGGGGGGAAAACGTTTTTTCTTGGTTTTTTTCTTTTTGCAAACACTTATACATATTAGATGTGTCCAAAGCACTGTCCTTGGTGACCCTTATTATTGTAACTTTCCAGATAACTGCTTTTCAACTTTTGGAACCAAGGTATCATTTGAGACCAACTTCCTGTACTTGAATGCTATAAATAAACAAACCCAGGCAGGTCTAACAGATTGCAGTAGGAAGGGAAGGTTACATATGGGCAAGTGTTAACAGATGAAAATGTAATTGGTATTAGACTAATTCTTTTGAAGTGCTGTAAATATAGTATGTCCCACTATTAGTGCTAAAGCAAAGCATCTATAAATTATTCATATGTACTCCCAGTCCCAAGAAAATATTCCACAGTACACAGATGCTACCCGTTCATAGGCTGAGATGGGTTCTCAGCTCATGCAATCTAATTTTCCTGAGTGTCTCCCTAAGATCACTTGTCACACTTCTCTATCTGCAACTGTAATTAATAGTTATCCGATATTTGTTCCACTTTAGGTTTGGCAGCTACTAGAGAAGCATGTTTTGATTTAGATGCAAGCAAAGTAATTACTAAATTCATAATAAAGTGGTTATTTGGGGTCAAGATGATGATACATTCTCAGCTCACACTTGCTGAGTAGTTTATAATCATGGCAGGGGAGCTGATCTAAAGCTGGAATTGATTTTGTATGTGTCAGGTATTTTTGTAGCCACAAGACACCACAGGGATACTGATTGATAGTCTTATAATTTCCTGTGAAATACAAGGACAATTTGTAAGCAAGTGGAATGGGTACAGATGAAGTGTAGAAGTTGTTTTGTTTCACCTGGGGTTCTATCCTTCCAATCTGGCAGATAGGTGTGGATGCCCTGTCTAAAGGGACAAGTATACTGTCACACATCGTCCCTGAAATTTAAACAATGGCTTTCTAAAGTTACCTGCTCTTAATCAGATGGCATGCTGCAATAACTTAAGATAACATAATCATAAGTCATGGATCTGTTTTTATTCATTTATTTATTTTACATCCTAGCTACAACTTCCCCCATTCTCCCCTCCCATTTCTTCTCCCCTACTTTCCCCCTTCCACCCTATTTGAATCTATTTTAAAATCCATAATGTTTTTTAAATTAAGTGTGAAGAAAGATGTGGGTAGCTAACTAACAGTCATTGAAAAGCCCAGGATTATTACCTTTGAGCTGGAAAAGGAATCACAAAATGAGCAGGGTTTTTCACAAGGAGTTAGGACCAAGTGATTCTGCTTTTATACCCAGGTTACTGCATAGTGCTGAGGAAGAAGTATGAAATCAATCAAATGATATAAAGGAAAATGTTCCTGGTGGCATTTCTTGGTAGGTTTTGTTTTCTGCTTTTTGTTCCAGTTTTCTTTTTACTCTGGTATGGGGTGCACATGGATAAGGATTAGGGAAAGTGATGGGTGAGCTGAAACGGACATCTAGGACAAAGGACTCTAGCAAGAACAACAAGCTTCAGTGGGGAACCTCAAAACAAACAATCATGAGAGTGAAATGAAGGGATGGGATTTATGTGGGAGGTTGGAGCCAGAGCAAATCTTGACAGCTCCTCTCCCATGGGAGGCACCAATGTAAACAGAGATATAACTCCTACATGGACCCTAAGCCAGCTGCTCTGTAGGGTTCACTTTTCCCTAACCACACAAAAGGTCATTTTCTACCACATCATCTTTAGAAAACAGAAGTGGGCACCTCTTTCACATTGCTCATCTTTGAAAGCTTAGAACTATTTAAGGTTGATTTGCATACAATAATTAACAAGCTCTCTGCTAGGTTGTCCTTCAACCCTTAGATGTTGAAAATTACATAAGCTCCCTTCAAAGTACAGCAACACTCCCTGGACAGGGCCCATTGCTAACAGCGGGACAGACTGAGGCATTTTCCCACCATGCTCTGTCTGTCCCAAGAGCGTCACGGAAGTGAAACATCACAGATGTCTCTATCACTGAAAATCAGGAAACGGTAAATAGAGGTTACCCATAAATCCAGTATCTCTAGTAAAATTCTTTTAAAAATGCAGATAAGCAGCATATTCCCTACAGAGCTGAGAGTTAATCTTAAAATAAAATAAAGCATGGTTTTTAGGATGAAAAAATGCTTTAAATAGGCTAGCCAAAGCACATCAAAATTAGATGTCTCTACCACATTAAGAACTTTCCCCTGTGGTTCAGGAATGATAGAATCCAAACCAGTCAACTCATCTATGAATAGAGAGAATCTTTGAAATGAATTTCAAAGAGTATAACAAGCTCTAAGCCCTCTTCTCCCTCTGACCACAGAACAGCTCAGTGCCGAAAGAGACAAAGTGAGTGGCTGAAGTAAGCAGATGAACTTCAAAACAAAGTGTAGAGCCCCCGCAGACAGCAGAGAAGAGGTCCCTGAGGCCAGCCACCACCTACTCACCAGATGTCAGACTTGGCATCATAGCCTTGGTGCTTCAGGGCCTCAGGACTCATATAATGGGGGGTCCCAGTTAAAGTTGTAGCCAGTTCACACGATCCCATTAGCAGCCGAGAAACTCCAAAATCTCCTGGAAATTGTGGTTAATTTGTGTAGATGTTTTAAACAAACAAAAACCACCATTAGAAATTAACAACTAAAATTGATTTAACTTCATCATTTGTTATGCTGTGCTTCATGATATCTTAAAGAAAAGGAAAAGTGACATTTTAAATTCCATAATGGTGATCAATAGCTTTAAACATATGTGTTTTATAGGAGAAAGAAGACTGAACAAGAAAGGAGAATTATATAACCTCAGATTCCTTACTTCTAGAATTATAGAAAACCAGAATAACTGGCTATTAAGCCACTTGAGATATGATAATAACTAACAGAAGGATTCTAAAAGAGTTTGATCTTTATTTTGATCTTTGTTTTCAAAGGTGAAATTCTAAAGGTTTAAGTTATTCAAGAATATACATATAAAAATTTGAATCCACTGATTTCTCTAATTACACATACCTGTATTCTTTTCTTCCCTAAGAACACCTATATGATACTTAGACAATTTATATCAGATAATCAGAAAAAAAATAAAAGGGATTTGTTGGTCTCATCCAGATAAGAGTAAATATCTGTGAAGGTTGAAGAAGCCAGGGCTGGATTACTTCAATGCTAGCTTGAACTATGCATTTGAGCTCACTGTAGCTATATCTAGGATAAACTTGCTTGCAGGTTTAGAGCAGGCATTTGAAACATCTTACCAATTTTAAGTTGGTTATTTTTCAGAAATATATTCTTTGATTTCAAGTCTCGATGGAGTATCCTCCTACAAAAGAAGACAAAAGATAAAACTTCAAGTAAAATAGAAAACTAAACCCAATCAGAAAGCAAGGGTGTGGTTGTATATAAGGAGTAACCATGCACTTCCACAGATCCAGCTTTCATTGCTTAAAGCTGAAAAACCAGGAAAGTTCTCCTTTCTCCAAGGCAAAAGACTTAATAAATGGGATGTTTTAGAGGGGAAGGAACATGCACTTTTGCTTTTTAAAAGTGTTTCAAAAGGTCGGATTGTGTTGAGGGTTTTGTTTGGTTGGTTTTGCTTCATGGTTGTTGGCATAAGGTTGAGGTAAGGATTTGGGAACCCAAAACTGTTTCAGTTTGATGCATTCATGACATCATACACTCTTCCCAATCCCTATACAACACCAAGAATGAGCCCTGTGTAAACCATGGACTTTGAGAGTTGTGGTGGTTTGAATAAAAATGGTTCCCATAGGCTCATATACTTGAATGCTTAGTCACCAGGGAGTGGAAGGAACTCTTTGATAAGATTAGAAGAATTAGGAGGTGTGGCCTTGTTGAAGAAATGTATTGCTGGGGGTGTGCTTTGAGGTTTCAAAAGCACATGCCAGGTCCAGTACCACCCTCTTCTCTCTGCTTGTGGGTCAGGATGCAGCTGTCAAGTTACTTCTCTAGCATCATGCCTTTGTGCCCCATGCTCTCTGCCATGATGATAATGGACTAAGCCTCTAAACTGTAAGCCAGCCCCTAGTTAAATGCCTTCTTTTATGAGTTGCCTTAGTCATGATGTCTCTTTACAGCAATAGAACAATGATTAAGTCAAGTGGCAGTGACACATGAAAGTAAGTACCACTCAAGTAGGGAATGCAGATAAATGCTAATGGATAGAACGGGTGCAATGCATACTCTAGGTCACAAAGCCTATGAGAAACCCTAAAGGGCTCCACTCAGAAATAAAAGCAAAGTAGAAGTTGAACCCTACACAACATAGTCAGATCTCATCTCAACAAATAAAATAGAAAGATAGATGAAGAAAGGCATTTAAGAAGGGGTCAAAAAGAAGAGGGGAGAAGATGAAAATGGAGTGGATGGGAGGGGAGATACTAGGAACAGGAAGAGGAAGGGTAAGGATAAGAGAAAACTGGGGAGGTGTGATTCCTTTAAGCTGTCAACTTGATAAAAATCTAGGATCACCAAGGAAGGGAGTATCAAAGGAGAACCATCTAGATCAGGTCAACCTGTGGGCATGCCTGTGAGCAATTTTCCTAACTGGATTAAATGGGGCAGAAGACCCAGCCAGACTTTGGGTGGTACCATTTCAAAGGCTGGGCCATGGAATGAATAACAAGGATAGAGTGATCAGAGCATGACATGAATGAATTCTTTGTTCTCTCTTCCTGATTATGGGTGTGATTAAGCAGTTCTCTTAAGCTCTGCTACTCTGATATCCCTGTGATGATGGACTGTGACCTGGAACTGTAAGATGAAGTAAACCCTTTCTCCTACTAAGTTGCTTTTGTTGGGGGTGTTTGTCATAGCAACAAAAACTAAACCAAGGGAGACCAGGAAAGGGAAAGAGGTGGAGAGGGTTACATTAGAAGTTGACCCCTTCAGGAGAGTTAAATCTATCTTTAAACTACTTCATTCCTTGACTAGAGTAAGGTGATCTGCCAATGACGTAACTACCAGGTGTAGAGAAGATAATGCCACCCAGTATCTCTTAATCACTCACCTAGATTCTTTAGTCACTCAAAACTACCAGAAATACCAGCAACAACAGCAAAAAGTTCCAAAAGGAATCCATAAATGGTTAACCTATTGAAATTACTGGATTGATATACAAAAAACACTGGAAAATCAAGATTGGCACTGCACTGGAAGACCATATAGTAATATTCTTTTCCTTCTGAAGCATTTTCAAACACTGAATGATACAAGGGAGGCTGCTTAACAACTATTTCCTCCTCCAGAGAGGGAGGAGGTCCCAGACTCAGGAAGCTGATAAACTTATAAGACAGACAGAAGCCTCCTTTCCCCAGGGTTGCAGTGTGCAAATGCTGGAAAGAGACTCCTTTCCGTGGAGCTGTCTGCAAGTTGTGAGGTAAGATCCAGGGATATAGCCTTTGTAAGTCAACATCCACGTTGGGATGGGTTTTAGGATGATGCAGCTGTCTTTCAGTTACCCATGATCTTGCTCATAACCTCAATAAATTCATTGGTTCACTAAGTATTGGTACTCTAACTGGAGTAGACATTTGTTCATGTATCCCCAAGAAAAGTCACACAACAGAAGCTTGTAGAAAATATTTCTCCGTTCTTATACAAGATAAAATAGTGTGTAGTATGTGTGTGTGTGAGAGAGAGACAGAGACAGAGAGAGAGAGAGAGAAAGAGCACAATTTTATACTTGTTGAAATTTGGTTATTGGTAAAACAAGTATAATGTATGGAAGGATTTCAACCAACCTAAAAACTACAAGAGAACAAGCCCAACTACATCAGCCAGACAATGGAGACAGAAAGAACCTGAACCTCAGAGGACATTGCTGAGGTCACCTCAGTTAACCAACTCCTGAACTGTCCTCCTGGACAGAAAAATAATGAATCCTTTTTATTGATTGAGACACTTCTGTTACTTGCAATTAAAGGAATCTTCAGTTGAGTCTCTTCATGCCGGCCCTATTGATTCTAGATCCAAGGAGACAGAGCCTTGTCTCTTGGAGCTGAAAGCATGCAAGGAGCCAGAGAGTCTAAGACTTTGTGATAATGAGCTAGGAGACATGCCAGAGGACTGGCTAGCATGGTGTTAGGAGAAATAAGACATAGATAAGAAAGTTATCTGATGACAACTGGGCAGGTAAAAGATGAGTTACAAATAGTAATATATTACTAGCCCTCTCACATACAAAGACATGAAAATATGTAAATTAGAACTATGCATTTCTAAGGCACAGGATATGCTAGAACACAGATTTTAAAATACATTGGACTGTCTCCGTGATGGAGTAAGAAGTATTATGTAACAGGCCAGCTGTCAAGCTAATAGAGAACTGTAAAATTGTGATTCACTGACTTTGTAGTTACAATAAGCAAAATGTATCCTGCAACAAAAAGTCTTACTATATACTGGGTCAACAGCAATCCCTTTAAAATATATTTTTTTTAAATCCAGGAAATAACAAGGTAACAAACAGTCCAGGATAGTTTAAATTTTTCTCTAGGATTCCCAAAGTATCTCTAACAGTTCCCCATCCACTACCCCGCCCCTTATCTACTGAAGTGAAACTCTCCTCTCCTTACTGGTCCATGGTACCCATTCAGGAACTACTTGTTTGTGGTCAGCATTGTGTTAGGATTCCCATCTCTATCTCCCCATCAGACTATTCCTCCCCAGCCTCCGGGTCTTTTCCTGGGGTGAAGAGCAGCTTACAGAGGCAGAGTGATAGCATAAGGCAGGCTTGTGGAGAAGCTTTCATCTTCCTAGACCCTGTGGTAAATAGTGTCTGAAAACTTAGCTCCCTCCCCTGCAGATCTATCTTTCCTCTGGCAAGGTCTCACAGTGGACTTCAAACTTCTTCCCAGAGGCCCCACCCAACTAATGACCCCTTGATGATGCTCAGCCTGGGAAGCTCCTGTTCTTTTCTCTTCCATGTGAGCCCATCCTGAGCTCCAAAGTACCTGTTTGTCTTTCCTCAGCTGTGCCTTGATGATGAGCCTCTGTGCTGGAGCCAGGAGATAGAGGATAGATCCACACCTCATCAGGAAGGAGGTCTGTGCAGCACTCTTAAAGACAGCTACTTGAACTGTGAATATTCTTAGGCTCCAACAGTCTCATTTTTGTACCTGCCATATGCTACAGACTAAATTAAAACACAGTATAGGAATGTTCCAAAGAAGGGAGCCAATTTTCCCTTTCTTCTGTTCCCTTCCTCCCCTTATTCCCCTAGCACTGTCTTTGTCTTTTCTAGAATACTATATTTGTCAAGGTTCTCCACAGAAATGAAACCAAACACATGACCTAGGACTGCGAACTTAAGGACTTGTGCCTTAGAAGGCCTGTCACCTGCATCAGCAGGCTAGAGGCCCAGGAAAGCCAGGGTGTCAGGCTCCATCTGAAGGCCTGAGCTCCAGGGGAGCGAGCATATAAATCCCTGTCCAAGGTCAGAAGCAGGGAAGGAGCCACTTTCCTCCTTCCTTCCCTTGGTTGGTGGGTAGCACATTGCCCAGGCACAATGGAGATGAAACCTACTTGACTAATTCAAGGGCAAATCTCACACCGACAGAGTCTCACAGACCACCCAGAAGCAGCATTTTAAATGGGGAATCCCATTGCTCATTCCAATGGGCATAAAATTAGCCAACATTTGTACTGAACTATTGTGCAAGGCATTGGCTACAAAGGCACCATACCTAAACTCTCACATGTATGTATCACATTGTTTCCAGTGTGATCCTCCAGATTAACATGTAAGCAAACTATATACTTTTCAAAATACATTAATGGATACTACAGAACACCTATGAAGCTGAAATAATTTCCATAGACCTATTTTTAATTGGTGTCAGTTGGAAAGTAGTAAGTTCAAAGCAGAGAAAACTATTGTGTACATATGTGATGTGTTCTTGTTCCTAAATATCCAAATGTTTTCTGCCTTGTAATGAGTGCTTCTTTGAGGCCCTCCACCTCTCTGCAACTGGGACTGACCATGTGACTTGACATGGCCATTGAACATGAGAAGATAGTCACTGTGTCTGAGGAGGGATGAAGGCTGCCCTAACTCATCCTTGCCTTCCCTCAGCCAGGAGCAAAGCAAGATCTAGTTAGGAGCCATTCCTTTGGCCTGGGTGCTATGATGAGCAGACACATGGAGAGGACTTGCAGTATCTCCCACATCCCTCAGCTACCAACATGTAACATGAGCAGCCCGCCTCCTTCAGTAGAAATAAGCCTCAGCACCACTGTCCAAAAGCAGCTTTTACTAGACTTCAAATATTCTTGGCTTCTAAAATCACAATTTTAGTTGTT